TCAGTCAGAGGATGAGTCTGCAGTAACACAGGTGTGGTCAGGTGGGCCTGGAGGTGCTGGACACACATGGAGATCTCACACTTCATGCACGTCTTTTTTGCTGGTTTCCTGTCCTCTATACACATGTCACAGAGGATAGTTTGTAAATCCATCTTGATGTTTTCAGACATTTTTTAAAGCAGGATGTCCCGTTTAGATAAGTTAAAAATTATTCAAGTTCAAGTCTTTCAAGTCCTCGAATTTTCCTTCTGTCTCCAAAGCACTCCACAAAGATTTTCTGTTGACTCTCTGATTCACACTGAAGGGGTGGGGTCAGACCAGCGTGACTGCAGCTGTTTTATAATGGTTGAACTTAGGTTTCATTTGTCATGAAACTATCAGGCACCTCATACTTAATATAGGGGGTGCCAACGAGTATCAGAATCAGAATCCGAATCAGAAATACTTTATTAATCCCGAAGGAAATTATGGGTTACAGCAGGCAGCACGCTAGATGGCGCACGCGCACTTACAAAGGAACCCTTTGACCAAACATACTGTAAACAAACATCACATTAGGGAGACATGTCAGAGAGGTAGGCTGATAGGAAAAAAACACAACGAAAATACACAACATGACTTGAGAGGAGGAGAAAAAAACACTCCACTCAGACTGGGACCCTGTGCTGAAGCCTCGGAGGGTGTGTCGAGAGATCCATGAAGTCTTTGGAAGTGCGTGTGAAGGCTTGCCTCGTTGTGGGTGAGTGACGTCAACGATGACGTGGAAGGCTCGCTAGTTTCGAAAGAGGTTCAAGTGTTGGCGAGATTTCTGAACGCATATGAAGTGGATTAGATCCCTGCAAAAATTGCATGTTAGTGTACGAACTAGTTTTTACTTAGGGTGCTTTTTATTCCAAGGTGAAGTGTTATTGTGTGAGAAGCAACAGGGGCACAGCAATGACACCTGGTTCATGGGTATCATTCAGAGGTGCATGTATTTATATTTGTATGAAAGGATTTTCTCCAAAGTCCGAGACGTTATCAAAAGGAGAAACCAGCGGAAACCTATGGAGTGACACGAGTGCCAAAATGGATTAAACAAAAACATCATTAGATAATTGGTAAAATGTGGCAAATTAAATATAATTATTACTGAATAAACACATAGTTTTTCAGTGTTTTAAATTTAATTAATTGAATTAAAATAATAAATTTGCCATCACCACAGTATTCATAAGCACAGTCACTGTTTCATTTCTTGAAAACCCTGCAACAGTTTTAACATAAACATGTCCAACATGTCCTACATCATACTGAAAAGTTTGTTTGTTTTGTTTTTTGTTTTCTGGAGCAGGTGGGAGTGTTTTTTTTTATTTATAATGATACACCTCTATTACCATTACCCACACATTAATTCAGCACACAAAATCAAACTAAGGTGTTTTCATATCTATTCTAGGCAGTGATGATTTCCATGCTGATAGTGTTGCGAAGCAGCCAAGAAACCATCACAAATAGCTGAAAATACAATACAGGTTTTAACCACTGATTATTTATGCAATATTTATTAAGTTCAGCTTCACGAAGCAGACAATTTTATCTTTCAAAAGCTTTCTATACAGGTCGACGGATGTTCAGTTTGAGTTTTACATCTTCTAACAACTGCTCACACGGTCAAGGCAATACACCTGACAATTACAACCATGGTCTTTGGTTCTGTCTACCAGTTCAGAGGTTTTGGTGTTTTGGTTTGTGGAGCTATATAACTGAAATGTAACATTTTATAGTTTTATTGTTAGGCAACTCAGATGATGTCACTTTGAAGATGAATTCAGTCCACATGGTTCTCACTGCCTTATGCCTGGCGCATCAGTGGAACCAGAGGCCTCTTCAGATGGTAGGGCGGTTGTTACCATCTCTTGCAGGTGGTCTCTGCTCTTGAGGAGTTCACTCTGCTGGCGAGGGAGATCTATCAGAGGTTGAGGATGAACTGAACTTGGGTGTCTATTGTCTTATGTAGTCTGGGAGTTGACTGAATGTTGGTGTGGGGTGTAATTTTTCTTCTGTGGTGGGGGTTGGGTGTTTTTTTTTGTGATTTTAATTTTGGTGCTTGGTGTGAATATATCACAAGCAAGGGCTATATAACATAAAGTATGTTGCCTTCCTTTAGATTTAGATTGCATTTATTTTAAGTATTTATTTCTCTGCCTTATGTTTAAGAAATCAGCAGTAGAGAGATACGTTCATGTCTAATTATATGTTACAATGCATGCATGTGCAGCAGATAACAATCTGTTTATTATGTAATTTATTCCTTGAAAGAGAACCACATTGCTCTACTTAGAAACGAGCAGAAGTGTAATTTGCAGTTAATTTCAATAATGGATTTGCATCCTAACTGATGCTCCCTGGTGGTCACATTGATTATGATCTGGC